CAGGTGGTCTGGTAGTTAAGGTGCTGGGCTCCTACATGGTTGACCACGGTTCAAGTCCATGACCCAGTGGCTTGAAAATCAGGCCAGGCTTGTGTGTGTGTGTGTGTGTGTGTGTGTGTGTGTGTGCCCAAAGTTCTGAGAGGAGAGGAGAGGAGAGGAAAAGGGAATGTGGTATGACCATCCTCCCTGAGGGGGAGGTTTCTCGCTTTCCCTCTCTGTCTTGCTTCAGCGGGTGCACATGCTCTATGATAAAAACCTTTAAAAAAAGAAAAGGCATTACTATGCAAAAAACAAAAACAAAAACAAGATTTTAAAAGTCATTGATTGAGTAGAGTGGGCAAAGGCACTGGGGAAAAAATAAGACATTTAGAGGCCAGCCAGTGGTGTGGTGGTAAAGGCAGCTGGGCCCCATATGGCCAACTGTGCAGCTCAAGTCCTGAATCCAGTGGCTTGAAAAACATGCCAGGTGCATGGGAGTGTGTGCTCAAAATCCCAAAAGGGGAATGAAGGATAAGGGATTGCAGTATGGCCTTTCCCCCAACAAGCGTGCTTTCTCATTCCCCCAACTCTTCTCCAGTGAGCTCCTGAGCCCAATAGCAAATTAAAAAAAAAAAAAAAAAAAAAAAAAAAAAAGGAAGAAGAAAAAGGAAAGTACTTAAAAGAATGCTTGTCCCTATAGCAAAATAAATAAACAAAAATCAGGACCAGGAGGTGGTGTGGAGGTTAGGGCACTAGATCACACATGGCTGACTCCGTGGTTCAAGTCCCAGACCCAGAGGCTTGAAAATCACACTGGGCACGTGTGTGCATGCCCAGAATCCAGAGAAAAGGATGGGCAGGGGGGAATTGTGCATGGTCATCTCTCCCGGGAGTGACTTCTCCCTTTCCTTCTCTATCTTTCTGTCTCTCTGGTGAGTGCACACACCCTTCGACAAAAACTTGGGGAAAAAAAAAAAGGGAAGGTGCTTAAAAGAACATATGGCTGTTTCTGGGTGTGCAGGCAAAACATTCTTCTTTTCCAGCCAGCAAGAGTCCCAGTGAGTTAGGCCTTGTCACTTTGGATGGATGCGGATTGACATGAACTATAAGATACAGCTGTCCTTTCTTATCTGTGTTATTTTTTTATCTTTCCACAGTCAACCTCGGTCCAAAATATCAAATGGAAAATTCGAGAAATAAACCATTCATTAAGTTTTAAATTGCACTTAATTCTGAGTAGCATGATGAAATCTTGCACTGTCCCATTCTGTCCTGCACAGGACATGAATCATCTCTTTGTACCCACCCCATGTGTCACTTAGCAGCCATCTTGGTTATAAGATTGAGAAAACATAGTATATATAGGATTTGGTACTATCCCCAGTTTCAGGCCCCACTGAAGGTCTCAGACCAGAGGGACAAGGAGAAAGAAAGAAGGTGGTGGGGGGAGGAGGGGTGGCAAAGAGAGGCTAAAGAGACACTTATGTACAGAAAAAGGAGGCAAACTGATGTAGAGGTCATCTTTGCAGACCAGGGCTCCCAAGAAAATCTGTTTGCTTCTTTCTTTCTTTTATAAAGAGTGGCAGTGGTTCTCAAAGGATGGTCCCGGGACCCCTTAGGTCAGCATCACCTGGAAACTTGTTAGAAGTGCAAATTCTCAGACTGTACCAACACTTATGGAATCAAGAACTCTCGGGGTGGGGCCCAGCAAGCTGGGATCCAGCTCATGGATCCAGAGCAATCTCTCCAGGTGCTCTGTAAGCTCAGGCCAGCGGAGAACCACACAGTGGTCATCACAGCCCACGCAGCAGTGTAAGCCCTTGGGGGATACGCCAGAGAAGGGCGGACACAGGAGGTCACCCAAAAAATGAAAGATAGTACTATGTCCAAAAACAAGTGGGGAAGAGAAGCCAGTGTGAGCCAGCAGAGAGATCCTAGGCCTGCAAAGGATGCCAGAGAGGCAAGCTCTTTCCTGACGCTCTCCCCACCCTTTCCTGAGCTATATCCACCTGCTGAATCAATCATCCGGGTTATTCCAGGGAAGAGTCCAGGCTGTTCCCTTCTGTAGTACAAGGAACTCCCACAGGAGTCCAAAGGAGGTCATGATATAGTTTCCCCAGGGCCCAGCAGATACTTCTCAGGTTGGTACACCTCGGACAGTGAGTGCTGCCCAAGGGACAGCTACCAAGCTAGGGACTGAAACTACGAAATCGGAAACAGAGGCCTTTCTGTGTCCCATGCAAGGGCTCTGCAGCACGCAGCTCATCTGGGCTGCTTGTCTTCACAGAAAGCCCATGGTGGTTTTCAGGGACTACCGCCGAGGAAGTGTAAATATTTACTGAGGGCTTTGGTCTGTGGTTTCAAAATGAGAGAAGGATAAATGAGTCAAATAAACATCAAACTGACTTACATCGCCTTTTCTCACATAATCGGGGTTCTTATAAATATCCCGGGCAAGGCCAAAGTCGCAAATCTTCACCACATTGTTCTCAGATAAAAGAATGTTTCGCGCTGCCAGGTCCCGATGAATGCACTATAATAAAACAGTTGCATAATCAATGCATTTCCTTAATTTAACCTACTAATTTCCTGTGCCTTCTCAGTGTCATTATTCTTAATTCAAGGATCCATTTCACATGCCGTGAAGAATGCACGTCTCCATGCACACCAAGTTACCATAAACAGAGCGCTTCTTTACAAATACAGGTCCCTGGAGGCCCCCAGTGAAGGAAAGCTCGGAATCTGCTGGGCTGCTCTTGTGCAGACAACATCCTGGCTGACAAGGATGGCAGTCAGATCTTTCCCGTGAGTGAAACGACCACACGACCTCTGCTCCTGAGCTGCTGAGATCAGTCTTTATCCAGCTGTCGTTTCGTGGGACGGTTTTGCATGAATTACTAATAGAAGCTCTCCTGTGAAGCCGTGTATTCTGAGATTCTAGCCAATGCTGAAAACATGCCAGAGGCACTGTGGAGAATGGTTGCCAGATCTGTCTAGTGAAAAATCTGGTGGGATTCTCCCTTAGAATAAAGTCCTACTTGCTGGTATCCAAAGCTGGTCTGAGAACTCCTCCTGTGGGGCTGAATTAAGGCACGGATAGTGATGCTTATTCTACGTTTAGGACAAAGGTAGGAGCACGTAGTGGTGCTAGAGGAGATGGATTTAGAGCAGAGGTGAGTGTCTAGGCCTGGCAAAGAAGGAACAGTAACGTGATAGGCTGACCTTTCTGGAAGACAAGAACTCCATGCCTCTGGCCACTTGAAAACTGTAAGAAATCAGATCTTCCATAGTGATGGGCTGCTTGTAGAAATCATCAGAATCTGGAAGGCATTAGAACCGTAACTGTTTGCAACGGCTCTTGTTATTCCACCAAATCCCAGTTTATTGGAACAATGTTAGCAAAACATAAAACAAACCAACAAGTAGATCAGAGTTCATTTTCAAGAGCAGTTGAGTTTCAACATGAACAGGAGAGATTTTTCCAGGCCTCCAGCCCATTTTACCCAAGCGCGGAGGAGGGGGACGGTCAGTTAAGACCACAGGGCCTGAGGGGAGACAATTGTACGGTTCCCTGTCAAAATTAGTAACTCTGTAAATAATCTTAATTCACATCTTATCTCCTCAGGACATTACCCTTCAGTCTCCCACGGATGTTTATTAGGGTGATAAATAAGAAAAAAATTTCAGAGATGCACAGTATGTTGTAAAAATATCTCAGACTGGAGGACAGGAAGGAATTAATACCTACCCTCCTCTTCCTCAACATCACTCAGACTTTTATCTTCCTGAAACCCAGAGCTTGCAAAGCTCTCGCTGCTGGTAATGCTATCTAGCCTGGGCTTCTTGTCTTCTTCCAGGCCTGGTTCCAATTTTTCTTTCTTAGGCTCCATGTGTAGCGCTGCATCCTTTGAACAGACCAAGAAGGACACAGATGAAGGCAGCTCTAGCACAACAGGGAAAGCAGACCTTCAAATGGGCCAGAGCCTAAGCTGAGAGAGGGTCATTCCACACAACGGTCATGAATTAGCCGCAAGGGCTCTGTGTGGCCAGACACCTGGCTCCTCTGGAGTGGGGAGTCCTGTCTGCTCTTGACCGGGCTTTCAGATGGCAACTTGGGTCAGATAAAAGAATATTAATAGCAGCTGGTGTTCACTGAACGCTCACTCTGTGTGAGCCCATATATTAAAGTCTTAGGTACATTTTCTCATTTAAGCTTTCCAACAATTGTGTGAAGTAGCTCTTACTTAGATGGAGAAGCAGGCTCAGAGAAGTTGGGTAATCAACGTCACATGCAGCTAGTAAATGGCAATGGGAGAATTAGGTGCGTCCTTACCCATGTTCCCATACCACCCCCTGAAGTGTGAGGATTGGCATGAATGATAGAAACGAGTTCCCAGCGCACTCGGGGCTTCACTGTACAATCCCTATGAGAAGTTATAAGAGCAGCGATAGTTACCAAGTTCTTTGATTTCCTTAGAGAAAGGGGAAATGTAACCGTTTCCTTTTTCTGCCTTCCATTCAAAACAAAGATACAGGTTGTTCTGACAAAGTAGAAAAGGCTTTTCATCCTGACCTGGGCATCCAAGCCCTGGTTTGTAATCTGTCTCTTCTATTAATCATGCAATCTTGAGCAAGTCGCCTTACTTACCTGGGTTTCATTTTCCTCATCTGTAAGGCTCTAGCATCCTATTAATTTTTTTTTACTCATAGGAAAGGAATTGTTGGTTCTGGGTGTTCATGTGAAACCAGAAATCATTTTTATTGTCTTTAGAGATTCATCGAGTAACTACGACATTAGAAATTCAGCACTTTAAGTGACTTCGTGACTAGACCATGCACCTTGCCTTGATTCTGACAGAGGGCAATACTGAGACAGAGGCTGAGATGGATGGGGTTCCATGGCATCCCTAGATTCACCTGTAAGGTGTGTCGTGCTAGGATTAACCAGCCTCCCCATCCTTCCTTGGCTTTTCTAAATATGTCTCAGGCTGGGGTGATCCCTCCACTAGAGGGCACAGTGGCAGCAAGCAGAGGACAGTCCTAACAAAGTACAAAGGGTACTGAGATTCCTGCCCCCTGAAAAGAGACCTTCCTGTGTTGCAGAAGGAAGCCAGCCTCAGAATGAACACCAACTGCCATCACATGTAATCCACCAGAGGGCAGGTAGCGACTAGAACTATTTGTCATTGTGCTTTCATGAGGCATTCAGATGTGATTCTGTTCAGCTGGGGACTGGAATTTTCTTTTTCATAAGGCCCTTCCCAAGACAAAAGGCAGCAGAAAAGGGCGGGAAATAGCATGGGAGAGTCCACGGGCTCACTCATGGCTGTGCTCTGTGAGTGCTTTCTCTGGGTAGCCTTCTTCCTCACCTGCCCCCAGAAGTCACAACCTTGATTATGTCCCTCAGGACCAAAATGCAAGCTCCTTCATCCCCTTCCTGACTCTCCAGTCAATGGGATATTCAGCTTTGCTCATTAGTAACCATCTCTGTCACATAAAGGTTAATAACAGAACTTTTGGGACTTTGGCAAAATCCAGTGAATTTATTATGCATAATATTTAAGGGTCCTGGTAAATTTCTTTTGAAAATGAAATACCTCATTTTCAATATAGCCATTTAGTTTTGTTTTTCCTTCGCCTTCTCATTGTATTTCTTTAGGTTCCAAAAATGAAAGATAGCCATGGGTTTGCCATGAAAACACCAAGTTCCACCAAGTAGCACAGGGAGGTGAATCATTAAATATAGCCGGAGAAGGAAGTAAACTCTGCAAAACAAAGGACGCACGAACCCAAACGTTCCATCCTGCCCAGGTCCCTGGGGTATTCTGCAGGCTTAGCTCTTCCTGAAGCCAGTCCAGGATTTCAGGACTGACTGAAGAGAATGCACTGCCCTCAGCCCAGGGCACCACCTTCCACCGTTCTTCTTCTTTTCTTTTCTTTTTTTAAAAAATGTTATTATTATTATTAATATTTTACTTTATCCAATGTATTGTATAGAAAAAGCAGTGGCAGGGGGGTCAAAATAGTTGGGTTCTTTTTCCTTTGACTTCACCTCACAGTAGTTGTGTGTCCTTAAGCTAATCAATTGACCTCTCTGTGGGCCCAGTTATAACCTGTGAGTGTGAACTAGCTGATCACAGAGATCCCCTCAGCTTTAAGATTCTCATTATTTGAAGGTCTGATTTAAAATGGGAGAAAATGCGTTCTGTTGTATCTATTGCCAGTCCGGTAGAACACATGTGTCTTTGAATAGATCAAAGTAGGAAATGGAACTAGTTGTACAGTGGTTCTTTGTGGGTGGGATTCTTGCCCATATACATGAAGGGATGAACATTATCCTTAGAGATCCAGCACTTCATTCACTGGCGTTAATTTGGATTCACCCAGTCTTCTACCTCAGTGGGTTGGTGATAATAATGGTGACAATGACAAAAGTCATGATTAACATTTATTAAGTGCTTAACTGAGAGCTTTTCATACTCTCAACAACCCCATCAGGTGGGTTCCATCACTAGCGCCATTTAATAAATATGGGAACTAAAACTTGGACAGATTGAGAGATTTGCCCAAGGTCTCAGATTTCATGAGAGGTAGAGACAGAATTTATTTATTTATTTATTTTTAAGAATTTTTTGTTTGTTTTTTTGTTTTGTTTTGTTTTAAATTATAGGGCATGTACATTCACCAGAGAGAGATAGAAAGACAGAAAGTGAAAAATCACCCCCTGGAGGGTTGGTAATGCCTTAATCCCTTCTCCTCCATGTTCCTCTCAGGATTTTGGGCATGCACACACACATGCCTGGTGTGAGTTTTAAGCCATTGGGTCTGGGACTTGAACTGCGGTTGACTACGTGCGAGTCTAGTGATGTAACCATTACACCATCTGCTGGTTCTGGTAGAGACAGGATTTAACTCCAGGAAGTCTGATTCTAAAGTCTGAGTGCTTAATTACTATAATATGTGGCTTCATCACCAATGTTGCTCATTAATGATAAGTAATGTTGAATAACTGTCCCCTGGACTTCTCCAGTCCAGAGAAGGACATAGCACTGGTGCCATATGTCACACTGCCAGAGTTTTAGTAAATTATTTCTCCTTTGTTCAATAATCTCTTTAAAGCTTGTTTGCCTTCATGTGTTCGGACCCATGCGTTTCTTTCATGAGGCAGCTTTTATTTAGTGGACAGGTTGGTTCGTAGTGCATATAGGAATGACTTGGGTGGTGAGGACATCAGGAAGGAGAAGAAAGGGCAGAAGGGGAGAAGATGATTTCTAGCTCTGGTCTCACCACTGGTCTCCTGCTGACTATATGAAAGTCTATATACAACACTCAGCTGGTTGTGTCCCTAATCACAATCTAATCTAGTAAAAGGAGAATATTACATTTGCTATCATCTCCCTTCATGAAAAAAGTATATATATGCATGCATACACATATGTATGAAGAGACAGAGAGAAAATTATCAAGAGAATTTAATAGATATTTAGATAGATGGCCGATAAGTTCATCGGCCCCCAGTTATTGCTGCATATGCAGCAAATGCTTCTCTGCGCTATTCATGAAAGAGACAAATGAGCGTGGAAAGAAAACATGGAAAAAGGAGAAAGCGCAGAGATTGAACTGTAAGCCTAATCATGACTAAAGCAACATAGATTTCTCTTGCTTTATACAGCTGCAGACTAAATGGAAACTCATTGCTGTTTTTAAAATACTCTAATCTTTAAATCCTTACCTTGTTGAGGAAGAATAAATCACGTTTGCTCTTGAGGTAGTTGGATAGGTTTCCATATTTGCAGTATTCCACAATCACCATGAGAGGCCCTGCATCCAAAATAGCACGAGCTCAGCCACGGCCTAGTCCAGCCATCTGCCAACCTCCGACCTGCCTGAAAAACCTCAGACCAACTTGTCTTTGTGTCAGTGAGGGCTAGGCATGCAATTGAGGGATGAGAGGCCCATGGACACTGTAACTTTTTCCATTTAACCTGACAAGGAGTTTAAGAGAGACAATAGCAATAGGAGCAGTGGGGGGAAAGGAGTGTTAGAAAGAAAAGAATAAAAGAAAGAGAGAAAGAGCTTTGCGGAGGGAAGCAGCATACAATGGCGGATAAAGGGGCTTCTGATCACTGTCATACTAGCCTCAGGATTGTAACTAAGCACTCTTTCTTGCATCCTAAGGCAGAGAACAGGCTTCCTGGAGGTGTCTCCGATCCACTCTAAGAGGATCTAAAGTGGGGGGTAAGGGAGGTGGAGGGGTGAGTCAACTATTTTGCAAAGGACAAGATGGTGAACAGTTTAAGCTCTGAAGACCCATCAGGTACTCAGTTCTGTCGTTTGTATCCTGAAAACAGCTACAGATGATACAGCCAGAGTATGACTGTGCTCCAGTAAAGCCTTGGGAACTCCACAGAAATCTGAATTTCATATGATTTCATGTCATGAACTAATTTCATTTCCCCTCCCCCCACAACTATTCATTCATTTGTTTAAAGGTTTTTTTTTGCCATAGGACGCCCATACTGGCTAATGGAAAGAGGCAGAGATAGTGAAAGGGAAAGTGAGAAATCGCTCCTCAGAGGCGATGGCAATCCCTTCTATTTTAAAAAGCCAGAGTATTCCAGCTCACAGGCTGGCCCGCATTTGCATGAGAGCAGTGGACCTGAGAGCTGGGAAGGAACTCCAGCTGCATTGTGGGTCCTCCAGGCACCCTGAAAACCTCCTCTCTCTACCCACAGCCGCGAGGCCACCTGTGCAAGGACCACTTCCAGGTCAAAACTGAAGTGCCTCTGGAGCTGCTCCACTCCCATCCAGTGGCCCAGACCCCAATTTCTTCAAGACTACCAGAGGCTGGGCTTCTTCTGGCAGGGTGGCTCGCGGTTCCTATGAGGACTTTGCTGGTTTAAAATGTTAGTCGTTACTCGGGTGAGTCTGGAACCGGAGGACTGAGTGAGTGCATGTGTGTGCCCAAGATCCTGAAAGGAGGGAGAGCCAGAGGAGAAGGAATTACAGTGTGACCATCCCCCATGGAGGTGCTTTCCCACTTTTCCTCTTTCTCTCTCTCCCACTAGTGCACATGCCCCACTAGCAAATAAAGAGAAAATGTATCCTTTTTTTTTGAGAAGTTTTTGCTATAGGGTGCGTGCACTCGCCAGACAGAGAGACAGAAAGCGAGAAATCACCCCCCAGGGGAGATGACCATACTGCAATCCCTTCTCTTCTGTTCTCCTCTCGGGATCTTGGGCATGCACGCACATGCGCCCAGCATGAGTTTTAAGCCACCAGGTCCAGGACTCGAACTGCGGTCGACTACATGGGAGTCCAGCGACATAGCCATTACGCTAACTGCTGGTCCCAAGAAAATGTATCTTAATAATCCTGTCAGTTCCCTCCCCCCCATTCCCTCAGGGCTCCAGAACTGACGTAACTTCTACAGTTGGCATATATCCCTATCTCTGAGGAAGAGTCAGCCTACCCGGCCCATCTGGAGTCCAGCAATCCTCCCCTCGAGAGGGGTTTCCATCTGACACCAACTGCCCAGTGCCCAGAGGCACACAGGGAGGTGGGCTGTCTCATAAGTCCTCGTGGGTTTTACGGGTGCAAAGATGAGCCAAGCAGAATGAGGAATGAGTGGCCATAGCAGAGAACTTGAGGAAAGCTTATCAACAGACATGAAGAAACAGGCAGGGTGGTGGCAGATGCCCAGGACTCTGTATTTCTGGCTCCCACACCCCTCCACTACTCTCTGTACCCACTAGGGCTCCTAGCAGAAAGGTCTTCACCAGCTACGCTTTATTCCTCCTACCTTTGTTGAGAGCTTGGAAACATTTGTACGCATAGCTCTTTTGAATCTTTTTTAGCTCTTTTGAATCTTTCTGGCCCAAGCAATGATGGCACAGTTACAACCAAGCACTCACCCTGCTAGGGTGGTAGGGGTAGGGGTGGTGAGAAGGTGGGCATCCTCTGCCAGGACACACTAGAGCCCTCCATTTTAAGACCCAGTTTGTCCCGCGTGCCCTGTGAATAAGGCATGCTTGCATGGGGGGTCTAGAGATCTTCTGACCGTCTCCCACATCACTTCCTCCTGAGATCCGACCTTTGCTCTGGTGACACTCCCTCAGATTCACCCTAATAGAGAAATGCCCTTCACTTGACCTAGAGCCTGTGGAAGGAGAGCCAAAAGGGAGTGCTTCTCTCCTAGATGTTAGCTAACTGTACAGGGAAGGCATTTCCAGGATAGGAGCAACCTTCCATAAATAGTAAACTGTTTACTCTGCAGCTATTGAGAGGACATTTTCCTGGGGGTGGGAAAGAACAGAGGTAGAGAGATGGAACTGGATGTCAGAGAACTCTTCTCTCAGTGAACATATGGAAGGGTGAAGCAGGCCCTCCCTCCTCCTTTACCTCCTTGCTTGGTGCAGGCTCCCAGCAGGTTAACCACGTTCAGATGGTGGCCAATGTGGGTCAAGATCTTGAGCTCAGTCATCAGAGCTTTGTACTCGCTGGCTGTGGCCCCCTCTGTGTGAGAAGCAAGGAAGAGTGAGGGCGACAGGACAATGGGGCTCCTTCCGCAGGAAAAACCTGCCCTCCTTGTTTGTCAATGCTCAACCGGTTGCTTCATTAACTTCCCCGCATTCTGCAGAAAGGCCAAGTCTCCAGACTGTTTTCATTACTCCCACCCTCCTGAGCCAACATCCTTTTGATTACAGTAAGGTCCAGTGCAGTGGTGGGGTTAGTCACTGGACATTTCCTCTCGGTGGACCTGGTTGTGTTCTGCAAAGCGCTGACTCAGAGCTAGGCATCTCATGAGGTGCCATCCTAGGGCTTCCCTTCTGTTAGAGCCAGGTGCAGCGAGAGCCCTCCAGGCAAGAGATGCACCCACACTGCTGCACTTCTTCTCACTCTCCTGCTTTGGGGGTCACAAAGAAAGCACAAGGGGCCTGCAAGGGCAGAGTGACTACATCTGTAAACATCTTTGCAATGTGTTATTTTCTCCCTGTAACCTTTTCCTCCCTGGAGTTCACAGGGTTATCTCCAGTCATGAGGCTCCACACAGCATCTGACTTCAACTTTATTCTAGGAGATAAGCCACATGGGTCCAAGAATTAGCAGAATCTAAAGCCTATACTGAGGGCTGCCTGTGCTTATTGATTTGTTTCTAAGGACTTTGAAATGTTTTGATTACTATGGGAACCAGCAATTAGCGTAATGGCTATGTCGCTGGACTCCCACATAGTAGACCGCAGTTCGCGTCCCGGACCCGGTGGCTTAAAACTCACGCCGGGCGCGTGTGCGTGCGTGCCCAAGATCCCGAGAGGAGAATGGAGGAGAAGGGATTGTGGCGTGACCATCCCTCCTGGGGGGTGATTTCTCGCTTTCTGTCTCTCTGTCTCTCTCTGTCTGTCTGGCGCGCGCACGTGCCCTATAACGATAAAAAAAAAAGTAAAAAAAATGTTTTGATTACTATGTAGAAATGTAAATGTTAAATAATCTTGCTGTAAAATATTGCAACAATATGTGTTAGAGTGAAAAGATCGGGAGTTAAAGGGTCCATAGTAAAAAGTGAAAGCTGAGGACTGGACAGCAGCATAACGTGCTGTGAGGCTGAGCCACGTGAGAAGATTCGGAGTTCGTATTTGGAGACCTCCCTGAATATGCCAGGCACCTGCATGCCCATGGTGGGGGATGACTGGGGGAGGAGGTAGATGGCAGCATGGGGATACTATTGGAGATGCCTCTCTCTCCTCTTTCTTTGGAGGAAAGGAAGAATGGATTTTTTTTTTTTAAAAGGAGAGCTACTCACATCCCCTTACCTTCCTAAAAAGCAGCCACTATTGGGACCAGTAGTTGGTGTAATGGCTATGTCGCTGGACGCCCATGTAGTCGACCGTGGTTTGAGTCCCGGACTCGGTGCCTTAAACTCAAGCCGGGCGCGTGTGTGCGTGTGCCTAAGATCCCGAGAGGAGAATGGAGGAGAAAGGATTGTGGACTGGCCATCCTCCCTGGGGGGTGATTTCTCGCTTTCTGTCTCTCTGTCTCTCTCTCTCTCTTTCTGGCGAGCACACGTGCTCTATAGCAAAAAACTCTCCAAAAACCAAAAATAAATAAAATAAGCAGCCACTGTTAATAGTTTGGGTTTGAGACCTTATCCTAAGTATTCATATGTGCACACACAAAATCAGAAAGTTCATTTCTAAAACGTGTGTTTTTAAAACATTATTTTCAAAGAATTATTCATTTTAATTTTATTTATTACTATTACTATTATTTAATTTGATAAGAGAGAGATGGACAAAGAGAAAGTGAGAAAGCAAAGCGCCAGGTCCAGAACTTGAACCATGGTCAGCCATGTGGGAATCCAGCACCTCAACCACCATGCCACCTGTTGGCCCCACACATGTGTGTTTTTAAAATTGCTTTCCCCCTTTCAATATATCAGAGACTCTTCATTCTTTGTAGTTAATTAATGGTATTCTTTTTTTGTTTTGGCGGGGGGAGGAGTTTTTGCTATAGGGCATGTGCACTCGCCAGAAAGACAGAAACATGCAAATCATAGGTTCTCAGGAAAGTCATGACATATTTTTGCATAGAAAAACATAGAAAAAATATGTCATGACTTTTCTGACAGCCCAGTGTTTCTATAGGACTGAGTCCTGAAAGTGGGACATAGGGATGTGTATTTAACATTGGGGTAGACACCAGCATGTTATTTCATAAGCACAAATCATTTTTTAATAATAACCAGCTAAACTCCAGAAGCTTCCTAAAGCTCACAGTAGATGTTCAACAAATACTTTTGGATAAATAAACAACATGATTCCTCTTCTCATTTCAGACATGAGTATAAGACCCCAAAAGGTTAAGGATTTTGCTCAAGGGCCATTTGGAAGAGCTCTTGACTCATGATCTTTGCTTGACATTCTGCCTTGTCTGTTTCTCTCGGAAACAGATAGTCAACCCCTTTAAGCAAGAAAGCTAAATGGAAAAAAAAAATTTTAAACGATTTTAGAGTGGGTGACTTGGCAGTCTTTTTACTCTAGATTCTTTGACTCCACAACTTTTCACTCTAACTCATGTTGTTGAAATATTGTATAGCAAGATTATTTAACATTCCTATTTCAAAGAAAAATTTTTAAAATTTTCAAGGCCTTAAACATTAACCAACAAAAACAGACAGAACACAAAGTCTTCTTCCTCTCCGCAGAAAATCCTGCTGGTGAAAAAAAAAATGCATTTATAAAACTCCCTCAATTTGCCCCTCCAGGCATTTATGCCCATTTGGCACAAGGAGAAAGCCAAGTTCTGTTGCTCAGGTGGCTCCATTTATAGGCAGGGCCACAGGTGTTGTCTTGGACCCACACCAGTGAGGGTGAGCTTCGGAACTGCCTGTCCTAGAGACAACGCGTGGTAGTAGCAGAGCAATGGGACTCACTGAGGAACACATGCGTCTAGACTGAGTTTCAGTTTATCTCTAGGTTGGACGCTGGACTACCTCCATAAAGCGGGCCAGGAACTTAGGAGGACTTCAGGGAGTTTGTGGAAAGATGGAATTAAATAAAGTACAAATTATCTGGGGGCAAAAAAAAACCTTGAAATCATACAGGTTTTTCATAAATACACATTTTCCACAAACTTTTACTATTCAGCATTTTGGAGCAATGGACAAACACAAGGAGGCCAGGCCTCTGCAGCCGCTCTTGTGTGGTGCTCTGTGTGGAGGAAGGGGCACTGCACTGGAGGCTGGAAGATGTGCACACAAACCCTGCTTTAACACTGTGCAGCTGTGTGGCCTCCCAGAGGCTATTTAAACTTTCTGGGCCACATTTCCTCCTCCGCAAATGAGAATAATAATATCTATCTGAAAGAACTTACGAGAAGATTTTTTTTTTTAATGGCAACTTTATGTGGTTCAAGTACCTAACCTAGTTCGGTGCTTTTTCACATAGAATACATGCCAGTGCCCTTCCTCTTTGGCATCTGGCATTGGGACCAGGGTGAGGGCCTTCGACATTTCACAGTAATGACTGCCATCAACTGAATGGACCACCCAGAATGAAGCCCAGACTTACGCATGTAGATCTCCCTCCTAGGACCTTTCAAAGTAGATCCAGTTCTTTGGAAAGTTCTATCAATCTTTTTTTATTGAGGACAGCTTTTTGAGGTAGAAAATATCTTTACATGGGGCTTTTGAAATTTTAGTGTCAGTGCTGGAAGAAAGTTAGAACTTAGAAGTCTCCTTAAACATGGGGTCCAGCAGATGGTGTAGTGGTTCTGTCACTAAACTCCCATGTGGCCAACTGCAGTTTGAGTCCTAGACTCAGTGGCTTGAAACTCACACCAGGCACATGTGCATGTGTGCCCAAGATCCCAAGAGAATGGAGAAGGGACTGTGTTGCCCTAAGGCAAAAATCTGTTTTAAAAAAAACAAAAAACAAAGAAGTTTTTCTAAATGAAGGCCCTTTCTCCTGAAGCCTGTGCTAGGTACCAGCTTTTTGTCAGGCAGAATCCCCTGACAATATCTTAGAGACTCTGGGAAGCTGAAAACTGTCCTTGTTTTGTTTTGTTTTGTTTTTGCCATAGGATGCATGCATTTGCTGGAGAGAGACAAAGAGAGGGAAAGTGAGAAATCATTTCTCTCCTCACCTCTCGTCAGGGGAAATGACCATGCTCCAATTCCTTCTCTTCCATTCCCCTCCTGGGATTTGGACATGCGCGCACACGTGCCTGGTGTGATTTTTCAGCCCGTCTGGTCTAGGACTTGAACTGCTGTTGGCCATGTGGGAGTCCAGAGTCTTAACCACATGCCACTTACTGGTCCCTGGATTTGGAATCTTAACATGAGTTGAAGTAATGTGAAAGTTCTCTCATACATGAATAAATGAAATGTTTTCTACACTTCAAAGAACATATACGTCCTTGAAACATTTGGTTTGCAGTTTTCACTGTCGTTTTCAGTCGGTCTTACACATCCATAGATTACTGTGTGATTTGGTGTTGTCTCCCAGTGCTTCACAGAGTGGTAGTATCTTTCAACACTAGAAAGATATTGGGTTGTTGGAAAAGCCATGATGCACTTTTGCATAGAAAAACATAGAAAAAAGTGTCATGAATTTTCTGACAACCTAATCATTTTTTAAATTGGTTTTATTGGTTGGAGCTTGATAACATAGTTTGGACTTCTGACTTACAGTTAGGTCAAGTCAAAGTTAAACCTTCAGGATTTATGATGTGAAACTAAGTCTCCAGTAAATTCACAGTGTGTCATGCCGAAATTTTGAACCTAAAGTGACAGTGGTCTTGAGTCCCTGGTAGCCTCGCACCTGAGATGTGAGGAGAAAGACCTTTGAGGTATCAGAGATCATTTGCCCCAGACAGTGCTGAGTTGTTCTAGATGCAGGGTTTACTCTGAGCTCAGGCTGGCCTAACCTAAAGCTTCTGGAGCAAAACAGCTTCCAGCAACAGAAGAAAGTGAAGTGGCCGGAGCGGAAACAGCTCCCAGGCTGTATATGACATGCACTCACATTTAGGGAATGTAAAAAAGTGATGGACCAGTTGAAAGCCAGACTAGAGCATACATACCTTTCAGCATTTTCACAGCCACAGTCCGGCATGTGGGTGATTTCTTAATGCCAAATGCAGATGCCTGAACCACCTTTCCAAAAGCCCCTCGTCCGAGCGATTTGCCTACAATGAAAAGAAGACATTGGTTTGTCTGCCAAGTCAGCAGTGTGAATTTAAGTCTTTTTCAGGAAGGAAATGCTTTTTCCTATGTGTGTATGTGAAGCGTGTAACTTTGAATGAAATCTCCAGTGAACTGAGCCCAAAGGAGACAAAGTAAAAGACACATTTCTGGGATCGCTTCCTTTCAACTTTTAACTCTACTTCTGAGGCTCCCACATCCTCAGTGCCAGGGTAGGCCCCTACATAGCAGTCAGTGAGGACAGACAGCTGGTTTTCTTTTCTCTCTTTTTTAATTCTTCTTCTTCTTTTTTTTTTTTTTTTTTTTT